CGTATTCTTCATTCATTTTATTCTTAAATAATTTTGAAATTACATGTGTGTATTCTTTATTTTTGTATATTTCATCTTAACATCAAGTCTATGGTTGTTGTAAAATAGTTCATTATGTGCATCCATGTCAAAATTACATGAATGGGTTGAGGATAGCTCATTATTTCTGAGAGTCTTACACACACACAGTGGCAGCCACTGAGAGCACTAACTGAATATGTAAAAAGTGATGCAAAGATCTAATATACTCAGTTCATGTCACCATAATTCCTGGTGGACAGTTTAGATGAAAGAAAGGTGGTATCAGTCAGCATTATATACTGTTTATATTAATTAGTTGTTATTCATTGTAAAAATACAACTGAATAAATGTTCTATTAAAGTCTAAAAGTATAATTAACATTGGTATTGGTACAAATGGTGTGTGAAGATCCTTACCCACAACATCTTAATTTTTGGACTCACCGGCAACGGCATGGGTGGGGTTACAGGTGAAGGAAGGCTGTGGACTGGTGACTGGTTTGGTCGATGCGGTGGAGACTGCTGTGGCTGTCCCGAGGTGGAGGAACAGGCAGAGCCCGGGGACGGGACAGAGGTCTGCTGCTGGCTGGGTGGCGTCGTGTGATGCTGGGATGGCAGCTGGTTCTGGGTGTGGGAATGGGTCTGTTGGTGATGGTGTTGCTGCTGCTGCTGCTGCTGCTGCTGGTGGTGGTGGTGCTGCTGATGCATCTGTTGGAGCTGCTGCAGGTGCTGGAGCTGGGAGTTCAGTGATGAGGTAGCTGTTGATGGAAGGACAGCAAGCTGTTTGAGTCTTCTTTTTGCTTGAACTGTGTAGAGTGCAATAAACACAGATGAGCTTTGACAGACAACATGTCAACAAGTGTTTTAGCACATAAACAGAAAGCCATCATTATTTGAAAAACAAACTCACACCTCAGGTAGAAATATATGTGCACACAGATGTGTGGGATACATAGGGTGAATAGTGAGATAGATGTAAATTGCATGGAGCCACAACAAGGTCCTCCAGGGTTTTTAGTCTACCTGATAGTCACTCAATTTAATTCAGCAAGTTGGAGGACAGAGCTATGAAGCCTGACTGATAATTGCTCTCTCTAGAGCATCAGAATCTTAGTTTTAATGGTGTAAAATCTAATGGGAAAGAAACATTAATCTTCACTGCAAGAGTTCAGAAATAAAACCATTAACTAATTGAATCCAATAATGGCACACCATTAGAACCTCATTTCCACATTTAAATGCTTATATAGTTTTATTCTGTTTAAAACACTTAAACTGAGGTAAGGTGCAGCAAAGCAGCATGCAAATACTCCTACGGATAAAATATGATATAAAATAAATGTAAACATGTCTTACTGTGAACACCGTGCACAAACATCACAGTCATTTTTTATGGCAGTTCACTCAAAAACATCTGAATACAGAATTCTATGGATCTTCAATCAGTTCACATACTGTGCTTGAATGCCAAAAGAAATCCACAAAACAACACAGAACACAACAAATAATGTTTACTAAAGGTACCATCTGTATATGTGGAGAGCTGGGCTAAAAACAACTAAGCTAAAAAAACAACTAAGTTGACCTTCATGGCTTAAATATAAGAAAGGAGAAAGTCTCCATACAGATATCATGAAGTGAAATGTTTTGTAAACCTGTGCACACATTCAAGATGCTCCAAAAATCCATAAAATCCTTAAAAAGCTATGTATACAGTGAAACTAAAAGGTTTTTCTTGGGTCATCCTATTTGCAAAAGACAAACACACAACAAGTACTTTCAACTTTAGACTCAGAATATAAGGTTCTTACATGATTTCCACAAGCACAGACAGATAATCTGAGTTTGTGCTGTTGCTGTTGACTCTGCAATGTTACACTGAAAACAAAAATATAAATACAAAAGATGGCCAGGGGCCCATTTCAAGAAGGAGGTTTTGTTGAAACTCTGAGTTTGTTAACCCCGAAATGAGGAAAACTCAGAGTTTTCGGTTCCAGAAACGGAGGTAACTTAAACCCGTGAAAGCGGGGTAAGTTAAACCCGTTTCAAAAAGAGAGGTAATCTAAACTCAGAGTCAGTTACTATGGCAACTTACTCTGTGAACCTAACCTGGTTGGGAGCAGGTTTTGTTCGGGAAACTCAGAGTTTCCTCCGGGTCTCCGCTACTTTTTAAAGTGAAAAGTGTTTAAATAGGCCTACTTCATTTAATCTTTCAGTACATTCACAGATTGCACATGTTTCCGTCACGCAGAGACCAAAATGGCATGTCCATTTATAGAGGATCCTGTAGATGAGGAGGCTATATCAGGTTTGAACTCTGAGTTTGTTAAACCTCCTTCTTGAAACGGGCCCCAGGTGAGGATCCAACTGAGTTTCTGTAAATTAAAAGATAATAAAGGCTTGCAAGGGACAAGCCCTGATCTGTATTTCAATATTTCACTGAAGGAAATTCATGAAATAGAGTTTAACAAATATACCTTGAAGCTATAGTATGTAACTTTTTCAAATATTTTTGTTATAGAAATCTGCTCCAAAACTTGTCTTAATGTGGAGAGGTGCTGTCGAAGCTTCCTGTAACCCAGACTTATTGAGCAGCACCGGCAGCAGTGCAGAGACATTAGTTTCTAAAAGGTTTTGAGCAGAACTGACCTCTCTAACCAGTCAGAGATTTTCAGTGATTTCTGCTTGATCAGTAAGTTTTGCTGCATTCTCATTTATTGTAATTTCATAACAACAAATATCTGAAGAGCTGAGCAGAGCATGGTGGAGCACAGTGGACCAGAGAGAGAGAGAGTGCTGGGTGGAGCAGAGTGGACTGCTTTGGAGTTTCATGCTAGTGCTATCTTAAGTTACATACTGAAGCTTTAAACTGAAGGCTGGCAAAGTTATGATAATTCCCACACATAATGATGAGAAACTAATTCAAAACTCCTAACTTCATGTATTAAATGATAGTTGTTTAAAAAGATCCAAAATTGTGAAGAAATCCAAACTAGATATTTAATTGGCTCAAAACCAAAATGATTAAAATTATGCTGACAAAACTAGTCATTTGTTTTCAGCCATTTGTCACTGAAAAAGACAAAAAGGAAAAGTATCTTTCCACCTAAAATCCATGATAGTAGTCTTGGTTGTTTATAAAAAGCCTGAATTGTTAAATTAAATATAGTGGACATGTATATTGTTAAGACACCCCACTGCATCAGCAATGTTTGACGTTGTGCTGCACATACACATTTTACTGTTAAAATAAATGGGACTGAATAACCCTGGTTCAAAAGAGTGTTTGTGAACATTTACTGATAACGCAGCCAAGCAACTGTGAATACAGGTGCAGAGAAGCTTGTATACATAAAGAATCAATGCACTTAAATAATTTAAGTATTGTTGTCTCATGAAAGCTGAATAAAACATTAGAGCAGACAAGTCTTTGATTAGTGTCGTCACTACAACTCCAGGACAGGCACAGACGAACATTTGATGAAGATTAGATCGTCCTCCTCTTTCCTCATTCTGAAGAAGCTCAGCAAAATAAAGCCAGTGTCTCTCGGCCAGTAAACAGTACACTTTTACATTTCGTCTACCTCCTGACACACTGGTACCTCTCTCACACCCCCACCATGAATTATATATCTGTGCAAACGGCAAGAGTCCAATTCTCACTTGAAATGTTGGTGCAAGTTGTCTACAAGTGCTGAGCCCCAGACAGGACCAGCTTCACAGCGACAAAATGTTGAGCCTTATTTAAAGATGGAATAAAAGGGAACAAAGACGAAGAAAACAAAAGGGGGGTAAAATGAGATTTCTGTCAAAAAATTATCGAAACCAGGCAAAGATCAAAGACGACTGGAGAATTTCCTGCAGAGTCGACCATTACGCCGAGGAACAAGAGGCACAACAAAAGAATATGAAGCAAAAGAAAACAAATACAGAGGGAATATGGAAGAAGCCCCATGTGGCCTTATTATAAGGGCTACAATGCAGGTAACTATATTCTTTAACAGCAGTGCTTTATAAATTCTGTCATCTTGTTAAGACTGTCAGGACCACTCACCCTCTCTTCCCCTCTAACTGGGCAACTGGCATTTTGAAACTCATTCTTTTAACCACAGCTGTCTGATTGGTTTGGTTGAGCACATAATCCAAATGGCTTGTCTCAGCTAATTGTTAGTGCTCCTTCCTCCAGCAGACACATGGCCCAGGATGAGAGAGGGAGCTTCACTTATGATGGAGAGAGGGCAAAAGGTGCTGGGATCCTATAGTGCTCATTATATCTCACACTGTCTCTTTTTTGTGTTTCATATTCACCAGTCCACCGACTGCGATGCAAGCAGCGCTCCCACTTAGTCTTCATGCCTGAGGGCTGTAAGAGCAAGGCTCCCACTTTCACTGTTGTCACAACTCGCCTATGTTAATGTTTATTATGAGGAACGAGCCAGATCATGAAAAAACTCATGCGGCTAAATGATCAGATACATGCTCAACTGTGGTATTTTGTGTTCCATTTAAACATTTAACAAACAAACACCAGTGCTGAGAAATCTATGGCCTCCAACCTCAGCGCTTTCATGAAACTGCCATCTCTCTTTCAGAGCCTTTTTGCTTTAGTGCCACAGTAGAAATCAACTGTTATCTTTGACTGTCCTGGCCCCAGCTTCTGAAGTACTGGGGGGTGAAGCAAGACTGATTGTCAGAGGTCGAAAGGCTAGGTCAAAACCTGCTCATTCGTCAGACAAAATGCTATTTTTGTTTCCTGTGCGGTTGAGGAGTGGGGGGAGGCTGCTCTCTCATTACCAGCACTAGCTCAATATTCCCTGCCAGCCCTCCTATTACAGCACTTTTCTCTGTAGGGCCGATTCAAGCTCGACTCCTTGTTTTCATGTCAATTCGCAACACCCGTGTTTACAACAGTACCCTGTTATCTTATACATCGTTCATGTGTGCATGTATGTGTGCATCTGTAGTCATGCCAATAGTGAAACTTAGTCAACCAAAAGGTGAATTTTGAGAAACATGATGGGCATTAATGCTGAAAGCCAGAGGTGGGAGATTCGAGTCACATGACTTGACTCGAATCACACTTCAGTTACAAATTTGAGGACTTGAGACTTGCACCGGTAAAAGACTCAACTTGACTCCGACTTGAAACTTGACTTAGACTCGACTCTGATGACTCAAAATTACTTTCCCCTTTTTAAAATGAAGTATTAGCATAGATATTGAGAACTTAAGTTTTGTTTTTAAAACACATTTGGGTGATTTCTGTGCAATGCACACAAACCTGGCAAACTCCCAGCGTGCATAAGACCAGCAGAAGGCAACGCAGGTCACAGGATGCAACTGTCATGGAGGGGTCTAGTCGAAAAATAATACAATTTGGATTCAAGGATTATTATTATTTTCTATTTAATCGTGCGCGCAAAAATCAGCAACCAACACAACATCCAACTTCATCCGTCACCACAATACTCACAAAGAAAGGAAAGTACGTGAATGTGTCTTTCTGCCTAACATTAGCTACATTATTGGCTGGTCAAACATTAGCTAGAAAGGTAACACTAAGTTTAAGATCCTTAACAGAACACAAGGGTTAAGCTGTTAGACCTGGCTTTGGTTAGTTTATAGCCTACAAAGGTCTAATTAATAATCAGTGGAGGTCTGTGAATGTTTCATTTAAATACGTGATATTCACATAACATTATCAAATCATCAAAATTTTGTACGACTTGATTTGTGACTTGCTTGACTTGTAGTAAGG